GGTTTTTTTTTTTTTTTTTTAGTTCGATTGTTAGCGAAAATATGAGGTATATTTGATCCTGTTTAGATCAACGAGAAGGTTGGGGTAAAGGTTAGTGAATCTGGTAATTGGGAACCAACCACTAATGATCACTATAACACTATAAGTAGTGATTAATGTGGGAACCAACCACTAATGGTCACTCCAAGTGGTGATTGCTTAAAATAACTTTAGGTGAAAAAATTACACGTGTGTTTTGCGTATTATGGTTCCTCTATTTCGTTTGATTAGTCATATGATGGTTTGCATATTTGACCTCAAAAGGAGAGTTTCATGACTTTAGGTGAAAAATTACACGTGTTTCACGTTATTAATCACTTTGGTTCCTTGATTTCATTTGATTAGTTATACGATAGTTGGCATATCTGACCTCAATAGAGAAGTTTCTTAAAAGTTCATCTCACTTTTAAAATGATTTTCAAGTCAAGAATGTAATACAGAAACAAGAGTGACGATCAGAATAGAGAAGCTGATTATGAGACAACTTGAGAGATTTAACTTTACCTTTATTCGCTCATGTTTGAGTTAAGTTTATTTTCTTGGTAGTAGAAAACTATTATGGGGACTAGAGAAAATGAAACATGGCTCTTTTCCATTGACATTTATATTTTTAAAATTGTATGCTTCTATGGAATACCTGGGCATGACTTGACAAAGTTATCTTTTCCCATCTTTTTCATTTATTTTAAACTATAAAATTGTTATGTTTTTAGTTATACATTTATCACATGAAATGGGCTGGATTAATATTAGTCGAGAAGATATAAAAAAATAATTCTATTAAATTTTTATTTGTATTTACTATTTAAATCGAATACCGTCACTCATTCTTATTATGAAACTAAAAGAAACCTCATAAATAGAGGGGTACCAGTGAAAAATCTTTTTTATACATATTTCAGACACCCGCTATCATTTTAAAAGGTCAAAAGTCAATGAATTGATTCTTATCCAATTAAACTTATCGACAACTTCTAGAACGAGTCAAAACACTTGTCAATTTTTATTATTCTTAATTAAACTTCTTATCTCGATCTCGGGTTCATTCTAAAGTATCTTCACCTCATAAGAGAAAAAAGTAAGAAAAGTTGGGAAATAAAAACTATATGATATCTTCCTCCATAGCAAACAATAGTTCATAGAATTGAGGTCTCAGCTATGTCAGCCATGGAAGCTTCTTCTCGGCCCCTATCCATTGAAAGCTTCTCATACAGCTGGTTGGTGAACATCAGATCATCCTTTGAAAGCCGTCGCAATTCCTTCACAACCTCTCTCGATGAAGCTTCCTTCATTGAGATGGATCCTACAATGCCACCCTCCAAGAGATTCTACTTCACTACCTCTCGTACTTCTCACGACTTCGCGTTCCCTGCTATCTCTCGGTCGCCATCGCTCCCTCTCGTTCACGCCGACCAGCTCATCTCCAATGGCTATCTTGTCCCAGCTGTATGCATCTCTCTCTCCTATTCCAATTCTTAACTATCTCTATTGTGTCTAAATTCAAGTTGCAGGCGTACGAGGGCGCGCTTGGGATCATTGGTTCACCCGCCGTTAAGCTCACGGCCGAACCACTAGGGAAATTGGAGTCATCATGTTCGTTGAGGAAGTCGTGCCGGAGATTATCAAGGCAGATTTTTGAGAAGTACTTGAGCTTTTTTAGGCCAATTTTGAGAAGGGTTCAAAGGGTAGAAGGGAATGGGAATGGTAAAGGCGGATCTCGTCGTCCCATTACAAGAGAAGCTCATCAGTATTGTGATGAATGGAGAAGATCTTCTTGTGATTCTGAGAACTCAATTTATGATGCAGTTCTTCATTGCAAAAGATCCATAGGTGAGTGACTCTCGTTTATGTTCTCAAGTGTCTTTTAAACAAATCGAAATTAAACGCCAAAATTTTGCACAACATGATAGTTTAAGTTTAGGGTTGATTCAAAAATCAAGATCGAAGTGGGATAATGAAATAAAATGATGAATCGAGATTGATATTTGTCGGGTTTATAAAAATCACTTTAAAACATGTTCTTAGTCATTTTAAGTAACTACATGTTTGAGAGTGATTTTAACTATTTTAAAACGAATTTGAAACATGTTCTTATTAAAGTTCGAACGGATTTATGGATTTGGAAGTGTAACAAAGGGTTTATTGTTCAGGGAGATGAAGAGGGAAAGGAAGGAGGATGATGATGATGATGAACATAGGGTATGGGGACAGTACAGTTGTTGTTTGTCTGCTTTGACTTTGTGAGTAAAGAAGAATGTGTTTGTGGAAATTGTGGGAATTGATGGGAGAGGAAAAGGCATCATATTAAATTTTTGTTGTCTTTATTCCATGTCCAACACAAACCACTAAATTTCTTTCTTTTTATTTTTTTATTTTTTTGAGGTGAGCTCATACCCACTCGTTTCCTATTTCAAAGTGTTCATTCATATCTATACCTATATATATAATCAAATATGGATTTGGATTACTTAAACATTCCATGATAATCTCTATCTTGGTTAAAAGATATTAAAATTGACATGAGATAAGTAATCCCTTTTGTACTTCGTGTAACAAAATGAAGAACGTGACCTTTGTGGTGAATGTAGATTGACTTTTAGATCTTCTCTCCCAACTGAGCGATCCCTCCTAATTAATTGAATTATGCTTGCGTGCTAATTAGTTGAGTTATGCTTAAAATTAATAATGGGTAGCTTCGTAATCAAAGTTTAAATCATAATTAGTTAAGTTATGCTTAAAATTAATAATGGGTAGCTTCGTAATCAAAGTTTAAATCATAAAAAAAAATATTCACCAATGACCTTCAAATCTTACGCTTTCTCAACCAAAATATCCTAAAAAATTCGCTATTTATTAAGATTGCATTGTCAAGTTATGCCCCTCTTGGTACCATTACAGTGAAAGTGGATCAAACATTTCGTCTTCAAATCTTTAATCCAACTCTAACTCTCCCAACTAAGCTATTCCCACTAAATAATACAATAAAAATGCATAAATAGAGCTATCCCGCTAATTAGTTGAGTGTCACAATGTAACTTTGTTATCAAATTTAAAAGGAAAATAAATATTTCACACAGGAAATATTCAATATTATTAGATTAAAAAGTAGAATTAAGTCCCCTAGCAGAGAGTGGAAAGTCGTAGGAATTTTAATTATGAATGAAAACTTTTTTTTGTATTTAATGGGTTAACATATTTGTATGTCAATTTCAAATTTAAAATTTAGTTGAGAGTAAATTATATTTAATAAATTTTATTAATTATCTTTCCAGCATAGTTTAAATTGTATTTTTAATAGGTTATTGATAGATTTTTAGTCTGGATCGAGCCCATAAAATATTCGTATATAATCTTATTCACCTACATGATCTATGATAGGAGATACACCAAACTATGGTAAATTCATAGTTTTTCGCGTCAGCTCATAAGCGGATAAGTAACATATAAGAGCATACGTAAGCGACGGCGACATCCGAGGGGTTTGCCTTTTTCGATCAGGAAATGTAACATATAAGAGCATAGACATCCGAGGGGCTTGCCTTTTTCGATCAAGGAATGTAGAGCTTGCCCTTACATTTGCATCTCCAGACTGACGGGTAATAATCACCCACGGTCGGAGTTTCTGGTGGCACCGACACAAGAACCGGGGTGCAGGGCGTGCATTTCCCACACTTTGAGGTGCAATGTGGCGGCGACGATCCCGGCCTACCCAATCTTCCTCTTGGCAAGGTCAACTCTTGATGTTCATGATCTCCAACGACCTTGAGCACCTAGGTTGCATAATTAGCGATGGGGTCGCACAGTATAATGCATTTATAATATTGGAACTAAAATAACTTTACCTCGATATGTGCATGGCCAGATTGAGCAGTTGAGCAGCGCTTTGTGTTGTCTGAGAACAATATGAAGATCATGAAAAACATTAAGAAGAAGAAACAGGGTTTAGGTTTATTGGTTCGGTTGAACTTCATACACAACCAAATTTGATTGTTTCACAAGCCTTGTGGTGCTCCCTTTAATGCTTTCCAAAATCAAGATATAATACAAGAGCGCTTGCTGATTACACCAAAAGAAAAATGTCATTTTTATAGTGTTTGAATATTGCATTTTTAAAAATATGCTATAAAAAGGAAATAAAGTTTTTAGAAAAGCTTTTTATATCATTTATAGCATTTTTTTAAAAATATGCTATAAATAGTAAAGGAAAGTTTTAGCAAATGGGCATTTTCCCCTAATTTCTAGGTATGTGATGACATGATGTCTAATTATTTATATGCAATTAGTTAAGTATTGGGTTCTCATGGGTTGATATTTTAAGAGTACCAAATTGTTCCAATGTTTGGTTAGCTGGCTGAATATTGAAGAGTTGAGTTAAGCCTCTCAACACAAATGCGGTGAACGTAGATCGACTATGTGACCTTCAGATCTTCAATCTGATGCTCTCCCAATTGAGTTATCCTGCAAGTTATCAAAGTTATGCTTACAAGTGGTTACAATCAAAATTAATAATGGGTAGCTTTGTTATTAATTTTTAACTCATAAAGAAATATTCACTATTATTATTAAGTTTGAATAGTCGAGTTATGCCTCTTGACACCAATGCGGTGAACGTGGATCGAACACACGTGACTTTCAGATCTTCAGTCTGACGCTCTCCCAACTGAGCTATCCCCGCTATTTAATGCAATTAAAATACTTAAGTAAAGCTATCCCAACTAATTAGCAAAGTTATGCTTACATCAGCAAGTGATTACAATCAAAATTAATAATGTGTTGCTTAACTCATAAAGAAATATTCACTATTATTATTAAGTTAAATAGTTGAGTTATGCTTTTCGTCACCAATGCGGTGAATGTGGATCAAACACGTGATCTTCAGATCTTCAGTCAGATGCTCTCCCAACTGAGCTATTCCTGCTATTTAATACAATAAAAATGCATAAGTATAGCTATCCCCACTAATTGGTTACCATCAAAATTAATATATAAAAATGTATGTATAATTATATATAAACATTCCAAGAATCTTTTCTTGCAAAGCTTTAATGTTACCATGAATTCTAACATGGACCACTATAAATTAGAAAAATATTTTTGCAAAAGTTTGAACTTGAAATTGATGTTATGGGCTCACATAGTTTGACTTGGATTTTAAATGAAAAAATCGAAATTTCATTAAGCATAAATTGGTAACACGATCACGTAAGTGATCTTACTTCTAGAGTAAGGTAGTTGAATGATGTATGATGGTGCATGCCCCGTAGCCCATGCATGCACCCTGTTGTTTGTATTATGTGTATGTGTTCTATGTAATGACATATGATGCTATGATATGTATGCATGTGATATCCATTATGTCTGTTATAAATGAAATGAATTATTATGTACGTCATCTCATGTATTGCCATGTAAAGTTATGTGATGGATTATATGATGATTGTCATGTATACAATGCATATATGGAATATATCATGGATAAAATGAGAAAATAAATAAGATTAATGTTATGTTATGAATGAAAATCATGGGACCCATGCATGTATGTATGTCATGTGCATTAAGATACTTCCTATTATGTTATGCTAGTATGGACGCGTACCTTCAATATTTATGTTCGTCATGATATCATGCAGGTTTTTCCTTTTCTATGGTATTCGGTGACGTATAATGCATTGTGCCTAACCAAGTCAGGCCTAGAGGGTACGTATACGAGCTCTCCTAGTGGGTCTGTGTGGGCGTACGTGAGCCATGTGTGGAGAAGTACTACACATTCAACTCTATCTGGAACTGGAAAGAGTCTAAGGTCATGTTACGATCTTAAAAGATAGGTCTCAATCATGTTATGTGTGTGATTGCATTACTAACCCCAATAGTGGAGTGACTTACTGAGTATTTCTTAAAATACTCAAGTTACGTGCTATCCTTATATTTTTCAGATAAAGGTAAAGCTCCCTACATAGATAACGGTGAACGTTGGTAAGGGAATGGAAGTCAAGATAGGTCAAGATAGGGCACCAGTATGCATGGTTTTAGACATGGTTTTATATTTAGTAGTTAATGGGTGGTTTTCTTTATATTTCATGATTAAAAGACTGTTTATTTCAAACTTCTAGTTGTTTAATTAAATGTATAAGTTCATGACTACATTTTGAAGTATTTATTATAAATTTCTGCATATGTATTTAAGACAACATTAACGAGTAATTTAGTTGTTTGTAGAGTTTAGCAAGCTCAAGTTGAGTTGTATGATATTAATTTGTGGCAGGCGGGCGATCTCGTCCCCGACATAACATCAATCTCTTGATCTATCTGCCCATGTGAAGATAAGGCTTTTTCTTACTTTCTAGTCTTGTGTTCCTATAGTGGTCATGAGGTTTCTATTGGAGTGAGCTCACTCGAGCTCCCCTCTTCAAATACGACAATGGCAGCGAGCGTAGATATTCTTTCTCAACTGTAGTACCGACATCATTTTCATTGTTCTTGGTTTATGGGTGTTTGTCTGAATAGTCGTCTAATTGGACTCCATTACTGCTAAACATTTTAATAGGGGCATCAGAATGACTTTGTGTTCTAATAGGACATCCATCCCTGACACAATTTTGTAGTCATCCATCTTGACTATGACAAAGTCGGTTTGTCCATACCAAGTCTCCAGCTTGATCAGAGTTATCTTTGCAGCTCCTAAATTAGTGATGTCAAAGGATGACTACATTTTAAAGTGTTTATTATAAATTTCTGCATAGAGACACGTTCTCCAAAGCATTTGTATTTAAGACTGTGATGTTCAAGCATTTTGCTTCAGTCTCCACCATGAAGTTGTGGGTGGCTCCCGAGTCGATAATGGTGTTCCTGGCCACTCTATGATTATCTCGAGCCTTGACATATATAATATCATGTTCCACTAGCTCCTCTATCTCTTCCACTCTCTTCTTGAGAGCGAACAAGTACTTTAGTCCTCTCACGTGGGGGTGTTCAACATTCTTAACTAACGATATTTCTGTTTCAACTGTCTCATACTCGACTTCTAAATTCACTTCGAGTTTTTCTTAGAATGTGTATAATGCTACCTTCTGTGGGCATTCCAATTTTTTATGGGTCCCCTTGCATGTGAAGTAAGACAAGGAGTCTCGGATTTGACTATGACTATTCTGCTTGTGAGATCTCCGCGTATGGAGTTATACCTTTCTGTTGGGATGACTCACATTCCCCTCCTCCGATTTCAAGTCTGTCACTTCCCTCACCTCCAATTTATGACTGTTCTGCTTGTGAGATCTCCACAATATTCATGTATACTCAAGCCTCGAGTCACATCTGAGAGAAATGTTTTAGAGAACATGAGCGAAAAAATAAGTTGAAAACAATTTTTAAAACAACAATGTTATAAGCTAAAGATGAATAGGCAGCAACAATGGCTTTGATAGCATATAACCCTAGTAGGAAGAATCGACAACTAGTCACTTCCACCAGTACTACATTTTGGGGCATTTTAGCCCTGGCTGATGTAGATAATCGGTCATTCACCCCCATATTGTCCGAACATGAAATACTTTAACATGAAAGCATGTAAAAGGGATTGGAATAGGCAATGTCGCCATGGACAACACATCCTGTGACACATGATCTGTGGTAGATTAGTCTAATACTTTACAACTAAGCTAATTCTAAAGAATTAAGGAAGATGAATATTTAAAATTTTTAGACTAATTATTCGAGTAATATGAATTGATAACACGTGACCACTCCCAACTAAGCTATCCCCACTAATTGTTAAATAAAATAGGTCATTCTCAACTGAACTATCCCCGTTAATTGCTAAATATCGCATGTGACATTTACACGTCTAGCTATGCTAATCGGTTAGTTTGACACTTTCCAATTCACAAAAAATTATATAAGATGAATTTTTACAAATTTTAGACTAATTAGTTGAGTAATATGAATTGATAATACATAATTTGACGCTCCCAACTAAGCTATTCTTGCTAATTGTTAAATAAAATAGGTCACTTTCATCCCAATTAAGCTATCTATGCTAATTGCTAAATATAACATGTGACCTTGAATGCTTTCAATTTTGTTAAATAAAATTCTAGACAAAGATTTGACACTCCTTTTTAATCTTTAACATTTTTTTTTTTTTTTGACCAATTAGTCATAATCAAAATTAATAATATGTAATTCAGTCAACTTGGATCAAACACGTGACTTTTAGATAACCAAATTATCTCAAATTATCTCTTAATGGTTCAAAAAATATTCCATAAGAAGAAAATTTGCAATTTCTAGACATATGAACTCTCTTAAGGTGTACGACTTCCAATGCACGAACTCTTGTAGCACATACGAACGATATTATACAGATTAGTACTATGGAAAACGTTACTAAACAAGGCCTAACTTGCTCGTGTTTGTGCTCGAATATAGGGCTTGCCCTTTGAATAAGGCTTCAAACTCAAACTTTATAATTAAGAACATAAAAGTGAGCTAACTTTGAGAGAAGTTTTGAGGAGACAAGGACAAAGCTTGTTTGGAGGAAAGTCAAATTCTGATATCAATACATATCTCTTTTATTTACATTCCTTTTTTTTGAAAATTTCTGCTTCACAAGAAGTTGCTTCCATGACTGTGGGGGACCAAAGGTTCCATTGTTTCATATCATTTTGCCAGTCATTGTGGGCATAAGCAGAGCACATCAGTGATGCTGAAATTATTGTCGTCCAACAACAAGCTGGTGGTCTCAGTTTCAGTGATAGTCTCAGCGCTATATGAATGGATAACCCTCATAATATTTTAATCAGAGAAACAAGACAGACAATCCAACATCAAATGTTTCATTGTACAAGACGGTCAAAGGAGAGATTTTAACTTTTGACCTCTTGGATTCATCTCGGGTGGATTTCATTGGATGTACTTGGGCCGTAGGTACTTTTTACCATCTAAGTTTCAGCTGTTGCTAACTGCCCTTCAACAGCTGAAACTTAGCAAAACTCAGACGGAATATTTCTATCATATTATGTTTATCTAAAGACAAAAATAAGTTATGAATAAATTTTATAATGATCTTTCTAGCCTAGTATAAATTGTATTTTAAATAGATTATTGATAGATTTTTGATATTTTAAATAGGTTATTGATAGATTTTTGGATGGAATAAGTCCTCAGTGATGTAATTAGATATATGAGTCTTTGGTGAGGAAATGTAATTAGATATATGATAAAATATTCGTATATAATCTTATTCACCTACATGATCTATGATAGGGGATACACCAAAATATGGTAAATTCATAGTTTTTCGCGCCGGCTCATGGGCGAATAAGTAACATATAAGAGAATACGTAAGCGGCTGCGACATCAGGGGGCATGCCTTTTTTGATCCGGGAATGTAACATATAAGAGCATACATAAGCGGCGGCAACATCCGAGGGGCTTGCCTTTTTCGAGAAGGGAATGTAACATATAAGAGCATAAGTAAGCGGCGGCGACATTCAAGGGGCTTGCCTTTTTCGATCAAGGAATGTAGAGCTTGCCCTTACATTTGCATCTCCAGACTGACGGGCAATAATCACCCACGATCGGAGTTTCTGGTGGCACCGACACAAGAACCAGGGTGCAGGGCGTGCATTTCCCACACTTTGAGGTGCAATGTGGCGGAGACGATCCCGGCCTACCCAA